CAGCATGGTCTTTAGAATCCATCTCATTAGGGGATTTCTTGGCACTGCCAACAGTTCTGGGTCCCCAGTATTAGAGGAACCTCTTTTCCTCTCTAGTGCCACTCACTGAAACATTTGGATGAGATTAACATTTAAATTGGTAAGTAATTTAAATTGGTAAGTAAGCAGATTGCCTTCTAACTGTGGGTGGGCCTCATCTAATCAGTTGAAGGCCTGAATAGAACAAAAAGACTTGCTTTCCCAGAAAAGAGGGAAATCTCCAGCAGAAGCCTTCTGACTTCATCTGCACCATTGTCCTTCCTGGGACTCCAGCCTATTGGTCCACATTTGACAGGCTCCATAATTGCATAAGCTGATTCCCTATATTAAATCTCTTTCTATATACATATACAACTTATTCATTCTGTTTCTCAGGAGAACCCTGAATATTACCAATACCAATACTATAATACACATACTAATGTACACTCCTACCAGCAGTGGGTAAGTACCCCAACCCATAAAATATTACTTCTTTACCCTGACCTTAAACTCTTCCCCTCCTATAAGCTACAACTAATTTACTCTTGTTGGTGGTGAAAAACGTAGGTTTATTATGTGTCTCCCTCTGGAAAATGTTCAGTAGCTTCCCACGGATCTCCCATAGTGAAATTCAGACTCCATGAGGCAATGAAGATCTTGGCCAGCCTAACTTCTCAGGCTCTTTGTGACATTGCGCTGTTCCAACTTTTTTTTAACCTAGAATCTACTGTATAAAACCTCCCTTGGGACCCCAGCACAGCACATGCTGAGCCCCCTGGCTGATGCAGGCACCCCTGTTTTTTCCTCTCGGGCTACCTCTCATGACCGCGAGGGGCCACAGAGCCCAGAGAGGGAACCACATCCTGCGTGGATGTCAAACTTTCCTTGTGCCCCTAGAACACTTCCCTCTCCACTTTCTCTCCTTCCCTCATCTGTCTCTCTCAGAAAAATACCCTCCACATCTTCAAGGTCCAGTGCGACTTGGTCCTCGAGCCTCCCTGCGCACTGTGTGGGAATTCCATTCCCCTTCCTCTCGTTCCTGGCACTTCGCAAACATCAACTGGTCTCCTCTGGGTGCTGAGACTGGGCAAATCACAGCCTCCAGGTGGTCGATGACCCTGAGCACTTCCATCAGCAGCACGATGGGAGCACATCACCTCCAGCACGGTGTTTTGGAAGCATTAGAGGAGATGACATTCGGTTCATGCACAGGAGGCAGTCGGTGGAAGGTAGATTGTGGAGTAGGGTGGGTGGGCCCCCCTGTGGGGGTCATTTCCATAAGCTTAACTACATTTTCTTGAACCGACTAGTAAGGCCAGAGACACGGGTTGCAGGAATTTTCAGCGGGATCCCTCTTCCACCACAAACTGCCGCGAACGAACGGGCCGCCTCTGGAAGGTTACCTACCGCCCAAGGCACCCAGCAGCTTTTCCCTGGAAGCAGTAAATGCCTGCCGCCATGCTCACCATTAACGTCTCCAATCAGATAGCAATTGAGAAAGGCTTGTGTGAAGTTAACACACCTTTTAACGTAAATTTGCATTAACAGCACCTTTATCTAGAATAAGCTTGTGCTAGTTGCGGCTCAGCCCTGAGCTGAAAGCCTGTGGGGGGTGGGGCAGCAAGGCTGTACCGTGGTTGACCCTCCTCCTCTGAGGGCCCCCGCAGCTTCATGCCCCCCAAGCTGTCACTCCCCATTCCTCGCTGCAGTTTTATCCAACAGGACACACATGAAGTCTGCGAACTCACCACACTTCAAGTCCTTGCCTGGAAAGTCAAGCTTATGTCCACATCCACGTGGGCAGTGGGGTTAAATGAGAAGATAATGACCAAGTTCCTCTAAGGTAGTCAGCTATCAGCAAGGAAGAGAAATCAGCGTTTGTAGGACTCCTTCTGAAAGCCTCACAACCCACTATACAAACTAGGATTTCTGGATCCCAGCTCCAGTCTTGTGTCGTTAAATAGACCATCAACGGTCCCTCTGAGTTACACTCCCGATACTACGTTAATAAAGCACAAACCGAAAACTAAAAGTATATATAAGGTTAGCTTTGAGATACAGCTACTATTTTTTAAATTCACTATCATTTTTAGTTTGTTGTTCTTTTTTTAAAAAAAAAGGATTTCCCCCAAGTTTTGAAAATAAGTGGAATACTCTCACCAGCCCATTACTGCAATCTGTTACTTAAAAATGTAAATGATCAAAAACAATCATGACAAACATGCTTAAGAATACCATCACAGGGAAAATAAAACTAAAAAAAAAAAAAAAAAGAATACCATCATGGGGGGCACCTGGCGGCTCAGTCGTTAAGCGTCTGCCTTTGACTTAGGCCATGGTGCCAGGGTCCTGGGATTGAACCCACATTGGGCTCCCTGCTCAGTGGGGAGCCTGCTCCTCCTGCTCCCACTCCCCCTGCTGGTGTTCCCTCTCTTGCTGTCTCTTTCTCTGTCAAATAAATAAAATCCTAAAAAAAAAAGAAGAAGAAGAAGAAGAAGAACACCATCATGAATAATTCATCTATGTGGAGAGGCAGGCTCTCCTTTCTTTGACCAGTGATTGAAAATCCTACCATTGTATTTGAAACAGCCCCAGAAGGTAAAGATCCACCCTGCCTAACCACAAGAAAATGATAGGAGCAACAAATCTGGATGATAAAAGCAGGAAATATTGCCAAAATTGTTCATACACGATGCTAAAAGTCCTATCTTAGTATGGCGATCACAACTTAGTTCCCAATAATTTAGCTCTATTTTCTATCCTAAACTTTCAGAAGAGGTCAAAATGCCATTTTTTGTTTTTGTTTTTAAATTAAAAATGTATATATTAGGGGTTCCTGGGTGACTCAGTTGTTTAAGTGTCTGTCTTCAGCTCAGGTCATGATCTCAGGGTCCTGGGATGGAGCCCCACATTGGGTTCCCTGATCAGTAGGGAGCCTGCTTCTCTCTCTGCCCCTCCCCTCTCTCTCTTTTTCTCTCTCTTTCAAATAAATAAATAAAATCTTTTTTTAAAAAAGTATGTATTTAAGACATGCAATACAATCATTTGATAAATATAAACGTATACATACACACACACAGTGAAACGATTACTACAAGCTAATTCACATTTCTTCTCACATAGTTACTATTTTTTTTCCAGGGAGAGCGCCTGAGATCTCCTTTCTTAGGACACGTTAACTGCAGTCCTCACGAAGCACATTAGCTCTCTAGGCGGAGTCATCCCACCCAACTGTAACTGTGAAACTCCCTGTGCCCAGGACCATTATTCTCCCTATGTTTAAGCAGCTCTTTTTTGACAGAAATTGGAATTCCTGATCTGGGAATCCAAACTGCAGAAGCTCGCCACACAAAGGGTGGGGGGTCCCAGCTTGTTCTGGCCTTGGTGGCTCAGGCCAGGTGTGGACTAGCTCTCTCCACCGAAGGCCCTTACCAACCCTCTCCTTCATCTGCACGGCTGATCAAAAGTGGTCCATACGTGAAAAACTCGCAGGCAGCCCTCCACAGGTGACTGCACAAGGCAAATGAGGCGTTCCATGACAAAATGGACTCGGTAATAAATATTTCGTTAAAGAGATTTCGCTAATAGACACTTTATAAGCCTCCGTCATATACACAAAACCTTTTTTGAGCTTAGCTACATCTACAGAGAAAAAGAAAACTAACACACGGGAAGTTTCCTTATCTTCTATTTGCGATCCCTAATGCAATACTATAAGTTTTTCTTTTATTTTTTTATTTTTTAAAATATTTTATTTATTTATTTGCCAGAAAGAGAGGACGAGCAGGCAGAGTGGCAGGCAGCGGCAGAGAGAGAAGCAGGCTCCCTGCTGGACAAGGAGCCCAATGCGGGACTCGAGCCCAGGGCCCTGGGATCATGACCTGAGCCGAAGGCAGTGGCTTAACCGACTGAGCCACCCAGGCGTCCCGGTTGTTCTTTTATAATATACATCCCTTGGAAAGCAAGCACTCCAGCACATGTCACATAATGTGTTCTGCTGACTATCCATTTAGGATATAATTTGAGAGACTTCAGACGAGAAACACACAATTCCAAACTATGTCCTTCCCTAGACTATTTCGGACATCTCAAAATGTCATCATTAGTCACTTTGTGTTGAAAGCATAGGGAATGATAATAGTGACAATAATAATACCCACCACTCCCTGACTGCCCCCCGTCTTTAACCATAGGATCCTTAAGCCGTTCAACAAAGAGAATGGTATTATTAACTCAGTTTACTATTCAGAAGCCTGAGATGCAGAGGGGATCGACCAACTAACATAAGGTTTTGAGGAAACTAAAGGCTAGAAAAGCCATGTTTTTCCAATAAACCATACCCAATCCACGTGGCTATTACTTGAAGGACTAACTCACTGAGCAGCAAAGCACACTCCCTGGTAGACACGGCAGAAAATATCTAAGAGATCATTTGATCCTTCTTGAAATGACACCTTGCAGTTTCTGAAGGTTCATCTCTTAGGAGCTTGGTTGAAGCAAAAAATGGAGCCAGCGCCTGATGAATTCTGCCCAGATTCACTAATAAATCTAGATTTGGTGTTACAGAGAGGACTCTGAACACACAGAGGTTGAAGCCAGCACTGAGTGCCTAGGGGAGGGAAGCAGCACTCCGTCCCTGGGAGGAAGCTCACATGGGGAAAGATCTGGTCCTGGACCCAAACACTGCCAACATCAGCTTAGTCCAGGCTCTAGTCATGGTTGAGACAAGAGAAAACCTGGGCTCTTCTTCCTACGACACTCTAATTCGTGAAATGGCCTATTCTACTCAGAAATCACAGCACATTAAGAAAAATGAATCTGATTCACAGAACTATTTCTTTAAAACAATAACATCATAAGATCTAGAAGTGAAATTGGAAAATACCACAAACACATGATAGAGCATTTTATAGTTTCTACTGGGGTTTTAAGATTCGATGTCGTAGATGGGTAAGAAGGAGAACAAGATGTCCACTCACCTGAGGCAACCACCTGGATCACCTTCTCCCAATGTCCTTGTGGGAAAGTGTGTAGAAAGCAGGAATAGAAGCCAACATCGGCCTCAGAGACGTTATGAAAGGACAGGGTCATATCATTAGGCGCCATGGTGGAATTTAAAAAGTAAACCCTATCAGTATAGGGTGGCTTTACACTCAAACCGTAAGCAGGGCTGAAAATGGCCATGAGCTCTCTGTTGGTCGTAGTGATCTTGTGCCATTCCAGCTGAACTAAGGTGTCCAGTGATGAATATATACACTCCAGACTCATATTCTCAGCAAGTTTAACAGTCGCGTCCCAAACCATCTCTTCACATAGTGCTGAAATACACAACATCACATTTGTTCAGTTAGGCTTGATGGATGACATAGCAAAAGACACCTCAAGCTTTTTCTAAGCTTTCTAAGACTGAGGAAGAGAGCAAATTGAGACCCCCACTAAACGCTAACAGTTTCTACCTTAGTCTAAAAAGGTTTCCACTGCCAATAAGAGGTATTTGTAACTTGTAGATTTCCTGAACAAGTGAGAAATTATCGGAGCCTACTAAAGGGCATTATAAATTCTAAACATGTCACACTATAAGACCAAAAAAGAAGTAAATTTTTTAAATGAAGACATTATCTTTACCTCTGTATATGTGAAGAAGAGCGAAGAAGAAAGTAAGATAATCCATCTCTGGAAACCGTTTGGGAGGGTGGTCTATTAAAAAAAAGACAATTTTTATAATGTTACATGCGGAGGCCCAGCACAATGCACTGCTTCCTTCCTCTCAGATATTATCAGTCGTGCCTTCTTTTTCTGAAGAACGAACACAGGAAAAGGTCTGAGCTTCAAAGTCAGGTTTGCTCTCGCACAAGGATGAGCAGATTTGAATCACTTCTCTCTCTCGGGGAAATAGCTTATTTTCAAGCTTTTATTTTCTACAAAGATTCATTCATTGAACAAATCAACGAATGGCTGAGGGCGTTCTCTATGCCAAACTCTGCTCTAGGCAGTTAGGATACAACAGTAAATTTGTTAAAAAAAAAAAAAGAAGAAGAAGAAGAAGTCCTTGCCATCATGGAGCTTACATTCTAGTGGGAGGAGACAGAAATGGAAATAAAATAGTAAAAAAATATAGGTAATTACCTATAGCTATAGGTAATAAGTGCACGAAGAAAACACAAAGCAGGAAAGCGGGGATAGGGTGGTGCTGGTGGTAGTGCTTCCCTTTTAGACAGGAAGGTCAAGTTCACTGAGAACTTGACATTGGAGCAGAGACCGAAGGGCAGGGGGAGGGCCTTGGGGTGTCAGGGATTTGGAGGCTCTACCAATGTGGACTGTGGTTGGGCATGGCCTTCCTTTTACCTTTTACTTCTACCTTTTCATTGACCTCAGGCATTTGCTTTGGAAGCCATGAAGGGACCACAGAAGGACCTGAGCTACAAGAGTGTTGTACCTCAGGACATACACAAACTTACCATTATGGATGATTTCTTTAAACTGTTTATTTTGAAATAGTTACAGAGTCATAATAATTTGCAAAGATAGTACAGAGAGCACCCTCTCACCCACTTTCCCCTAATGGTTACATCTTACATAATTATAGTACAATATCAAACGTGATTGATTTTTTTTTTTTTTTAGGTTCATCATTGTTCCCTTCCCTCATGTTAAATAACAGTTCAGTTTCTTAAGAACTTGTTAGGAACATATTACCATGTTAATATAAAAACACATTATTTCCTCTATGGAATTATATGAATGCATTTGGCCCATGATGACAGGGTCAAAATAAAAAGTAGGTAAAAATTGAAAGGAGGAACATGAATCCCTAAAGACAATGTTGCCTAAGGCCAACTCTGAACCTGGTTTCAATCCCAAAGTTTACCAGTAGGTGTCTGCTGTTCAACCTCAGTATCTAACCTGGAACTTTTTCAGGAAGCGAGAGATCAGCAGTATAAAATTAGAATGTATACATATGGTACTGTATAGACCACCTTATGTTTATACAGCATTCGGTTTTCCAAAAGCTTTCACATCTATGGTATTTGTACCTGTAACAGCTGTATGATAGAGTCAGATGAGGTATCTCTGTTTTGCAAGTAATTCAAAAAAACAGTCTGTCCAAAAATTTACTGACTGTGACAGGTACCCTGCCTAGGTCCTGGAGGTGCAAGTATGAGGAAGACTTGGTCTCTGTCCTCAAGGCATGCAGTAGTATATTGGATCAGACAGATCACAGAGGCAATTTATTATAATAAAACCTGATAATTCTATAGAAGTCAAGTTTGAGCAAGTATTGGCACAGCCCAGAGAGGGGGAAATTCATTCTAATTGCAAAAGGTTTCATAGAAAAAATGCACCAGATCCTGGGCGTTCCAACCTAACTAAGATTTTCCAAGTAGAGGAGGAAGGGAAGGAGATAAAGGCATGACAACAGAGCAAATTTTAGGGGAATGGTGTCACTATGGTCTAGGGGTTGGAAAAGAGACAACCACGATGTTGGGTCCAGATTGAAAGTATCTTGAATGACAGCAATAGAGAAGTTCAAACCTGGCCTTCAGGAACCACAGCATCCTGCTTACATCTGTAACCACAGCACCAAACACAGTCCCTGGGACACATCTATGGCATATTAAACACAACTCTGACAGCAACACAGAGCCACTAAAAATCTTATGGAGGCAGTGATGAGGACAGTTTTGTGTTTTTGAAAGAGAACCTGGATGCCTGTGGAGAATGGACTAAGGTGGTAAGGGCAATGAGGATTTACATCTGAGTCAGAAAAATTAACTCCACATCAAATCTTAACGACAGGACTTCCTCTTGATAGGTACCAACAAAAAAATAAAACTATAGAACAAGAGTTACACCCAGTCCCAAGAATTCCTGAATCCCTCAAAAAAGTGTCCTCCTAACTGGCCCCCCTTGCACCGTGCCCTGCTTTAGACCTGTGTCCCTTCACACACACACACACACACACACACACACACACACACACACTGTACCTGGAGTGATCTTGTGACAGACACAGTATGACCTATTTCAAAATACTTAATATATTTTGCCATCAATAAAGTAAAAAAAAAAAAAACAAAAAACCTAAGAGCTGGAGAAAATATCTGCAAATCATACATCTAATAAAGGTCTGAATCCAGAATATACTAAAAAAACTCTTACAACTCAACAATGAAAAAGACAAACAACCCAACTTTAAAATGGACTAAAAAAAATTAAAAAGTAAAAAGTAAAAAAAAAAATTTTAAATGGGCAAAAAACCTGAATAGACATTTCTCTAAAAAAGATATACCAACAACCAACAAGTACATGAGAAGTTGCTCAACATCACTAGTCATTAGAAAAAAATGCAAATTCAAACCACAAAGAGATATCACTTCACGCTCCCTAGGATGGTTATAATGAAAAGGCAAGTAACAGTGCTGACAAGGACATAGTGAAATTGAAATCCTTGTACACTGCTGGTGGGGATGTAAAATGGTGCAGCTACTGTGGAAAACAGTTTGGTTGTTCCTCAAAAAGTAAAACAGAATAACCATATGACCCAGCAATTCCAGTCGTAGGTTTATACCCCAAAGAACTGAAAACATATACTCAAACAAATACTTGCACACCAGTGTTCATAGCAACTGTCTTCACAAGAGTCAGAGGGTGGGAACGACCCAAATGTCCATCAACAGAAGAAAGGGTAAAGAAATTGTGGTATATCCACACGATGGCATATTATGCAGTTATAAAAAGGAATGAAATACTGATTCAGGCTACAACGTGAATGAGCTTTGAAAACATGCTAAGTGGCCAAGGGTCACATATTGTAAGCTTCCACGTATGTGAAACACCCAGAATAGGTAAATCTATAGATCTGATCAGTTGTCAGGGGCTTAAGGGAGAGGAAACCAGGAGCGACTGCTTAAGTCATAGAGTTTTGCTTTGGGACGATGAAAATGTTTTAGAACTTGATAGAGATGGTACTTGCAGGACACTGCGAATGTGTGAAATGTCAGTTGCGCACTTTAATTTTACGTTGCGTGAGTTTCACTGCTCGTGAATGGCATTAGGCCAGATTCACCTCAGGTCTCTCCAACGGCACAAGCCACCGCACGTTGCTGTTGGCCCTGCGTTGACTGACATCACGTGGTCCCTCAGCCAGTCTGGTCTGCAAACGCACATGGGGCCCCACCGTGCGAGCTGCGAGCGGAGTCCCGTCACACGCCTGGCCACAGCTCCTCACCCGCTAGAAACGGATGATGCAGAACAGAGTCCGGGCTGTCAGATGAATGATTCACGACGTAAAGAATCTCTAAGTGCTCATGGAACACACGCCGAGACATTGCATGCGTTTATATTAACGTCTGTGTATTTATTAATGCATATATATATGGCGTGTGTGTGGTCAGGGCTGGGCAGGTTGGCAGAGGTGCAGGTAGAGCGGCAAGAGGAACGTGGACACAGCAGGTCTCTGCTGCCGCACGCCGGCGCCAACCCTACGAGAATGAGACGCAACACAGAATCTTCCAGTCAGAGGCTCCCGCAGCCCTCGGCGAGCTTCCCCCCGGAGCGAAGAATCAGGGGTGCGGGATGTTATGAGAAAAGGGGAATGGGGCGCCTGGGTAGCTCAGTGGGTTAAGCCTCTGCCTTCGGCTCAGGTCATGATCTCAGGGTCCTGGGATCGAGCCCCGCCATCGGGCTCTCTGCTCAGCAGGGAGCCTGCTTCCCCCTCTCTCTCTGCCTGCCTCTCTGCCTACTTGTGATCTCTGTCTGTCAAATAAATAAATAAAATCTTAAAAAGAAAAGAAAAGACAAGGGGAATGAACTGATAGTAGTGGGCAGTGACCCTATATTCCCAAGGCATCCAAAGTCAAGTCTCTGGAAAGACGAAGACAGCACTTGCGCTATCGGTGACTCGATTCTGCAGCGACTAAAATACCAGCCCCGGAGGCTACAGATCCAAATGGAAGATGCAGAAGGACGTGCAGCCCGAGATCAAGTTCAGCTGTTACAGCTTTGCTGAGGACAAGCCCTATTCATCAGCATCTAACCAAAGACAAATAGAGACGCCCTTGAGCTATTCCTGTTGTGGAGGGAGCCATTTTTTGCATGATTTATGAAGGAATTTTGGCTTGAGGTTTTTTTCTAATAGAGCTGTCTGTATAAAAGAGCTTCATCCTCAAGGAAGTCATTAATCAAAATATTATTGGACTCCTCCCCTATCGAACAGGTCTCAGCGAACCGCACAAGCATGAAACTCATTGCACGGGTTTGCCTCGCACCGCGTGCTGCTGGGCGACCTGGGCTGGATGACGGCCTTCGGACACGCTGTCTCCTTCTCTTGGGCCATCCACGCACACAGACGCTTCCCTCTCCTCAGCTTCATTGTTTCTGCTATCTGGAACATGTTCTGCTTTCCCAGATGTCTGCTTTTTCTGGCCGTTGGGAGGATTCTTGTCTCTGCGCAGTCACCCAAGTAGGCAACCGTCCCCGCGTATGCAGAGAAGCCGCTCCTACCTGCTCCCCTCCCACTCCTGCTGAGACAGCTGCTGACCTGCCGAGGGCTGCAAAACAGTCTAGCCTGTGCTAGACTCAGAAGAAGGGACCGAGGCTGGGAAGACTGGGGGCTTTCCTCCTTTTTTTTTTTTCCCCAGATGTGGGAGTTTGTATGCCTTTGGCTGGGATGTCCTTGTTGTGAGGCTCCTC